AAATATACAAATGTGCTTGACACAATGGATGGATGGATGGATTGTGATAAGAGTTGTACAAGCCCCCAATAAAATGATTTTTTAAAATTCAGAAACAAGTAATATAAAAAGTAAAACTGCTTCTAATCTGCTTTACACACCTCTCTGATTCTCTGTTTAAGGACATCATCTAAGTTTCGTGCTTCGGTTTAAAAAAAAACAAACAGAAAGATGCTTCACTTAAAGTCATACTATAGGATTTTGTTATTTGAAAAAATGGGATAGCTGTATTGTGTTCTCAATTCACCTTTCATTTTAAAATGCTTCAAACTCAAAACTCACTGCCACTGAGTCAATTCCAACTCACAGAACCCAACAGGACAGGAATGAACCGCCACCATGGGTTTCCAAGGCTGGTAGTAACTGTTTACAGGGGAAGGAGCCACATCTTTCTCCCATTAAGCATCTGGTGGATTTGAACTACAGGCCTGTGGTTAGCACCCAACACGTAACTCACATTTTTAAAACTAAGGAACCTATAAAACTAATTGAAACACTGTAGCCCCACATTTGTCTTTCCAACAATTAAATCCATCATATGGCATAAAGAATGGAGCCAGCTCGTGGATTGGAAGACTCAATATAGTAAAGATGTCAATCTTACTAAAGACACTATATAAATTTAACACTATCTCAATACAAATACCAACATTTTTTTTCAAGGAATTGGAAAAACTGACTAACAACTTCATATGAAGAGGGAAGAAGCCCAGAATTAGCAAAGAACTCCCCAAGAAAAAAGACAAAGTAGGAGGGCTTGCTATACCTGATCTTAACACTTATTATAGAGCCAGTGATCAAAACAGCATGGTATTGGTATGACAGATACTCAGACCAATGGAAAAGAACAGAAAATCCAGAAATAAAAACATCAGCATACACACAACTGATCTTCACTAAGGGTCCCAAAAATATCAAATCAGAATCAGACTCCCTCTTCAACAAATGGTGCTGAAAAAAATAGATATCTACTTGCAGAAAAATGAAGCAAGACCCTCACCTCACCCCATGTACAAGAATAAAGTCGAGGTGGATCACAGACCTTGAAGTAAAACCCCAAACTACTAGGGCCATCAGCGAGGGAATTGTGACAAACCTAACAGCTATGGCACAGGGAATATACGGGCTATCAGAAATCGGAAAGGACACAAACAGAGGAGGCACAAA